CAAAATAATAAAAAGAGTGGTTTATATGAAGTGAGTAATAATGTGGATATAATGGCTAGATTAGATTATCTCGCACAAGAAGTCAAGGCTCTAGGGACAAATAAGGCAATTGGCACGTCTAAAAATATTATATCTGATATTTGTGCTGTTTGTTCGAGTACAATGCATGATGCTTCTATGTGTCCTCATATGACCTCTTACTCTGAAAATTCTTTTGAGCATGCTAATGTGTTGAATGCTTTTGGTAAGCCTGTCTCTAATCAATTTGGAGATACTTATAATCCTAATTGGCGTAATCATCCTAATTTTTCATGGAGAAATCAATCACCTACCAATAATGCATTTTCACCTATGCCAAATTCTAATCAATTTAGACCCACTAATTTTAATCAGACATATCCTCTAGTTCCACCACAAATAGTGGGTCCACCTAAGCCACAATCCTCAACTTTAGAGGATACTGTTAAGATGTTCATGCAATCCACTACTCAAGTTATGCAATCAACGAGTCAGGCACTTCAAGAAATTAAAAATGCCACCCACCTAAATACTACCGCCATCTCTAAGTTAGAAACTCAAATGGGTCAGTTAGCTACTCATATAGGAGAAAGAGAAAAAGGTAAATTTCCTAGTCAACCCATTCCTAATCCTAAGGGTCAGTATGTTATTAATGAGGAGCCTAGTTCTAGCTCTAAGCAAGAAAATGTGGAATCTGTCATCTCTCTTAGGTCCGGTAAGCAAGTTAATAACAATGTGAAGGAACCTGAAAGTGACAATGAAGAGAATAAAAGAACTAAGAACTCCATAGATGATGAAAACAAAAAGTCTGAAGAACCTAAAAAATCAAATCTTAAGAGTACTGAAATTGAGAATAGTAAATTTATTCCTAAAGCTCCATATCCTCATAGGCTCCTAGCTCCAAAAGATAACAGTAAAACAGGAGATATCTTAGAAATGTTTAAACAAGTGCAAATAAATATTCCATTCTTAGATGCAATTAAACAAGTACCTGCCTATGCAAAGTTTTTGAAGGATTTAGTAACAACAAAGAGGAAAACAAATGTTCCAAAGAAAGCCTTCCTGACTGAACAATTGAGCTCAGTTATTCAAAATAAATATCCTATAAAATTAAAAGATCCTGGATCTCCTACAATCTCTTGCAAAATAGGTGAGCATCACATTAATAGAGCTTTAATAGATTTGGGTGCAAGTGTTAATTTATTGCCTTATCATGTTTATTTGCAATTGGGTTTAGGGGAGCTTAAATCTACTAGGATGACACTTCAATTCGCAGATAGATCTGTAAAACTTCCTAGGGGAATAATTGAGGATGTTTTGATAAAAGTAGAGAATTTTTATTTTCCTGTTGATTTTGTTGTTCTTGAAACTGAGCCCGCGCAGGATTCTTCCACACAAACACAAATTATCTTAGGCCGTCCATTCCTTGCTACAGCCAATGCCTTAGTCAATTGTAGGAATGGTGTTATGAAACTTTCTTTTGGTAATATGACTGTGGAATTGAATATTTTTCATGTGACTAAGCAAATGCATGATGATAATGATGATGTATGTGAACTAAATGTGCTAGACAGTCTTATTAATGATACTTTTCATCACTCGAGTAGTGATGATCCACTAGAAGCATGTTTAGTTAATTTTGGAACTGATTTTGACATGGATGATTCAGTTGCTGAGATAAATCACTTGCTTGATTCTACACCTATTTTGAACGAGGATAAATGGAAGCCTAAACCTTTAAGACTCCCATTGTCTTCTTCTCCTTTATTGCCTTCTTCTGTGGTACCTCCTAAATTAGAATTGAAACAATTGCCTGATACTCTTAAGTATGTTTTCTTAGGAGATAATGATACATTGCCTGTTGTGATAGCTTCTGATCTAAATAAATCTCAAGAATCACGATTAGTGAGTGTGTTGAAGAAACATATAGAAGCTATAGGTTGGTCAATTGCTGATATTAAGGGTATTAGTCCTTCGGTCGTCTTACATAGAATTCATTTAGAGGAAAATGTCAAACCAACACGTGAGCCACAAAGAAGATAGAATCCTACTATGCAAGAGGTAGTTAGGAGTGAGGTGATAAAATTACTGGATGCCGGAATTGTTTATCCTATTTCCGATAGTAATTGGGTAAGTCCTGTCCAAGTTGTACCTAAGAAATCAGGAATAACTGTAGTAAAAAATGAGAACGGTGAGTTAGTTCCAACTAGAGTTCAAACAGGATGGAGAATGTGTATTGATTATCGTAAGTTAAATTCTGCAACTAGGAAAGATCACTTCCCTCTCCCTTTTATTGATCAAATGTTGGAAAAATTAGCTGGTCATGAATATTATTGTTTTCTTGATGGTTATTCTGG